GGACACGTTGACCAGGAGCTGGAAGGGCACCCGAGCGGCGCCGCCGGCGTTAGAGGCCTCGCACTCGTACTTGCCAGCGTGGGCCAGGGTGATGTTGGTGAGAAAGAGCATGCCGCTGCCCGTGTCGGAGGCTCCGTGCCCGCCTGGGCCTGGCACCCCGCCTTGGGGGGGGGCCTGGGCCCGTGGTTGTCCCTCGCGAGGCTGGGCCACCTTTCTCCAGGTTACCAGGGGCTGCGGGTAGCCGGAAGCCTGGCAGGCAACCCGCAGGTTCTCACCCAGGTTGGCTGTCACCTCCAGCGGCTCAACGTGCACAGAAGGTGGGATGCAGATGAGGCTGCTGCCAGAGACGTCCAGGAGACTCTGGAGGGCCAGGCGTGGAGGCTCTGCGCACACGATCTTCCTGTCCCTGGAGCTGAGCAACCTCTGCCCCGCCTCCTTGAGCCAGTCTCCCAGCCAGTGCAGCGCGCAGTCACAGCGCCATGGGTTCTCTGTGGACAGAGCATTGGTGAGCAGGTAGCCCAGGGGCAGCTGCGACCACAGCCTGTGCAATTGGGGTTCCACTGGCCAGAGCAGGAGCCCCTTCACTACCCCCCACAGAGTCAGGGACCCCTGCCGCCCCTGCACAAGCTCCTTGGAGTGTGGGCCGACTCTTCCCTGGCCCCTTCAGTTCACGATATCTAGGCAGTCTCTTGTCCCTCCCAGTCCCACTATTTGGGGGGAACCCTGGTGTCCACATAGACATCTCACCACCACTAAAACCTTGCAAATACTGTCAGCCTTGTCTCTCAGGTGTTGTCTCCTAGAAATGCCCCCATCTTTCTAGTTTCTACCTACCTGCCCTCTGATGGCCCCGAAGTGTGCAAGCCCCTCAACTGTGTCTACTCTGTTTAGAGACTTGTACCTTTTCTGTCTTCCTTACAAAAGTTCTCTGAGCTGTGCCCCTACCAACACCCCCATTCCTGGCAGCATTCTGCTGTGGTTGCTGGTAGTGGTGTGGCCCTTCAGAGCTGCCCTGGGGGTGTACAGCTCTTGAGCCACTGCCATTGGGTTGCCCTACATAACGGCCTACTCCCTAATGCCAGCACTGTGGCTTGATATCTTTGCTTGAGACCCCTTGCTCCAGAAGAGGTACCTGTGAGGCGTAGGACCTGCAGGCTGGCCAGGGGCTGCAGGGTCTCATGGCTGATGGTGCCCAGCTGGTTCCTACTGAGGTCCAGCAGTGCCAGTGAGGAGAGCCCGGCCAGGGCCTGGTCCTCCAGCAGCTTAATGCTGTTTTCCTGCAGGTGCAGCTCCTGCAGTCGCTGAAGCAAGGACAGCAGATCATCAGGGAAAGGGGCCCTAGGAGATATATGTTCCTTACCAGGCTAGGCTGGTTGACTTTTGTCCCCTTCACAACTCCAGCCCCTCCGAGCAGCTGACAGTACAGGAGGATCCCTGCCCTTTTCCCCCCGCACCCCTCACCGGCAGATGCAGGAAGGTGAAGTCCAGCAGCTGCATCAGCTGGTTACCAGCCAGGTAGAGTATGCGCAGCTGAGCCAGGCCTGCAAAAGCCCCCAGGCGCAGGCCTCGCAACTGGTTGCCTGTGAGTGCGAGCTCCAGCAGGCGTGACTGTGCGTGAAAGGTGCCTGGCTCCAGGGTGCGAAGGCTGTTGTTGTGCAGGTAGAGACTGTGAAGGGCGGCAAGGGGTGCCAGGATGCCCAGCTCCAGGCATGAGATGCTGTTATCCTGCAGGAACAGCGTCTGCAGGCCAGAGGGAGGGAGGGCAGGCAGTGTTTACCCCACTGAGGGAGTGTTCCTCCAACTAAGGTTCCCATCTACCCACCAGGATGCTCACACACCCTTCCCTCCTCACCCGCAGCCCCACACAGTTCCCACCTGTGTCCCAGGCGGGATTCCTGGCGGGACAACGTGCAGCCCCAGGGCCCCACACTCCACCGTGGTGCTGTAGCAGCGGCAGGCAGCCGGGCAGCTGGTGGATCCGGGCGGGAGACCGGGCAGACAGAGCAGCGACAGCAGCAGCAGTGCTGGGGCCCCGGAGGCCATCTCCCGAGGCCAACCTCCTCGCCAACTTTGCTACAATGGGGCCCCGGATGGGAAGCACTTCCTGAAACAGTTTGGCAAGGCCTTGCCCTAACCCTTGAGAGTCAGCGAAGAGCATGGATGGAAGCTCACACCGTGTCTAATGTTTGAAAAGTTATAAATCAATTTAAGAAACTGATAAAACGTTTTCTTAACGAAAACAGTTAAGGATTTGGGACATTAGGTTCCAATTTTGAATTTCTGATGTCCTCTGTCTTGCACACAGGCCACATGGGGCATGTCTGTCTAGGTAGCACCGCCCTCTACACCCTCCCAACTAGCCACTCTGGACCTACATTGCAAGAGGCTGGTGTAAGGTATGGTGATATAGGCTTGGGAGCATTTGGGTGGTGAAGTCCAGAGCTGTTCCCAAGCCTGGGCCAGAGGGGGAGGCAAATAGCACCCCTTGTACATTGGACTCTGCTCTCTGGGGACTGGCATGAGACCTTGTAAGGCCTAGAGCAGAGGTCCCTTTTGTACCCCCTGGATAAGGTCCTTGATGGGAGGCAGGGCAGAACTAGTCTTAGAGGAGTCAAGAGCCACAGAAAAATCCAGGCCCTGCTTTGTCCTGCCCTGGGAGTGGGGTGGGTGGAACAGCTTACTGGAATGAGGGTTTGTTCTCTGGGAACTTGTTAGAGAGCAGGATGATGAAGCAAATGATAGGGAAGAACATTTCCCAAGCTATGGACCTGTGTTCTCCATGCTGGCTCCCCAAAAGGTGCCTCTTTTGGGGGACAGTGGGGCCCTGGAATGGTTGGGCCACCAACTGGGTTTCTAGTATAGTTTCAACAGTGACTTTCTGGACCGAAGGAATGTAGTGTGTTGTGGGTTTATGCACATGCAGCTGTGATCCTAGAGAGACGGGAAGGTCTGGATCTAGTTCCAGGCACAAGGAGTCCAATTTTAAAGGTGGGGACTTGGGCTGAGAAACCAACCAGGGTGGCAGGGCAGAGGGTTGGCTGTCACCCAGCCTCAAGCTCCACCTCAAGTGGTACCTGCTCTGAGCACCCCCCTGTTCACCAGGTTTTCCACTATCAAGAGTGAGTCTTGTAGAAAGGAACTAGGTGGCCTTGCTGGTTGTTTAAATCTTGCCTTAAAGTGATTATTTGAAGTCACTAGAGATGAAGTAGGCACAGCAAAAGTTTTAATGGAGTAGCTTTGGCCCAGGCAGAGGCAGCTCCTTGGTGTCTCAGGATGTTTGCGAGCCCCAAGAAGCCAGGGGATTTCTCTTGGCCCCTGGCACTCATCTCCTCGAGCAAAAGGGCTTGCCCACACCCATCTTCCAGGAGCAAGGCCTCTCCAGTAGAGAAGGTTCTTAGCTTCCTCCTCGGGATTCAGGGCGCTGCTGCTCATACGGGCACCCCTAGATGCGGATCCATGTCACAGGGCCAGCTGGGCAAGGATGAGGGCCCAGGCGGGAAGAGCCTGGGAGGCCCGCACACAAATCCTTTTACTCGGCGGACAAACCCTAATCCGGCTGGGTAGGGGCCCGGGCGTCACGCATAGGCTTGGAGATGGCTGACACTGCCTCCAGGGCGCCCATCTGCGCGGGGTGGGGGGTGGGGTGAAGCCCTGCGACCCCATCGGGCGCAGAATGAAAACCGAGCCAGGCACCTAGGTACCCCAAGGCTTCGCCTGCATCCCCAGAGCACGGGTCTGTTCTGGGCGATTCAGGGCAGGGCGTGGTCCCGCCAGGTCGCACGTCCTCAGTGCGTGTAGTGGACGGCCCCGATCCCGCCCCATGCCCACTGACCTTGGTTCGGGCGCCCCCTCACCTGACGCTCCTGCGGCGCGGCTCCCCCGCCGAGCCCACGGCGCCCCGGCCCACAGAGCAGCCCGGGCGGGGGAGGGGCGGGGGCCGGGCGCGCAAGCGCACTGGAGCCCCTGTGCCTCTCGCCCGGTCGCCCGGGCCTGCCGTCGCGAGCGGAAGCAGAGGATGCCCCAGATCGGGAGAGAGCAGAAAGGCCTGGGCCCCTTCCCGCATTCGGTCGGGGACCGGCCGCGGCAGCACCTCGGACAGCGCCGGGCGGGGCGGGGCCTAGATGCTCCCGGACGCGCACGCGCACGCGGCCTGCGCGCTCTCCGGGTGGCGCGTGCGCAGCGACGCGGGCGAGAGGGGCGCTCAGGGCCCGCGGCCTCCCGCCTGACGCTCAGAGCTGGGGGGCGGCGAGCAGCAGCGGGGCCAGATCCATGGTGAGGGGGAGGCGTTGGCCCTGCCAGTGCACGTGGGAGGGCACCGCGGACGCACCGGGCGGGTACTCGAAGCAGGCGCTGAGCTCGAAGGCCAGGGCCGAGCGCACCAGACCTACGCCCCCTGCGCGTTCCGGCGCGGGGTGGTACAGGCGCCCGTTGGTGGCCAGGGGCAGCAGGCGCTCGGGCTCGAAGGGCACAGCCAGCGCCTCGCCGCCGCCGCAGTAGGAGAGGCGCGGGGACCCGGAGCCTGCAGCCAGCAGATGCGTAAAGACCACGGGCCGGTCCTCGCAGCGCAGGAAGTTGCGCTCCCTGCCGCAGGGAGAGAGGAAGGGGAAGGAAGCCTCGTAGCGCCCGCTGCGGTTGGGTCTCAGACGGGAGAAGAAGGTGACCAGGAACTGCAGGTCTGGGGAGGCGAAGGACACGGGCTGCTCACCACGCCAGGCCCCGTTACCCCAGGG